TTTACATTTTATTAAAGATACGCACAAGGAGCTGGAGAACTACAAGAGTAACCTCTTGGTGGTGAAAGCATTTGGCCGCATCATGGACGAGGCGGATCCCTTGCAGTCGCTGCAGCATCTGGACGATGCCATGCTCAACTTCCTAATGATACAGCTGGCCAGCCACAAGGACCAAACCATTATGTCCGCCATACTCCAGACACTGCTCAGCATTTGCAACCAGCTTATTGTCACCAAAGAGCAGCTGCCAGCATCGCTAAAGCATCGCAAACAAATCATGGAAACTGTGTTTAGCATACCCATTGAGTCGCCCTTTAGTGATTTGCCCCTGCTCCCCACTATCCTGAAGCTGGGCACAGACTTCATACGCATCGGTGAGTAAAAGGTTGGAGGTTGACCGTGAAGTCGATTCTTACGCACTTTATATCCCTACATTTTTTACGACAGGCGGCAGCGATAGCTCCGAGTGTGTCGACGGCAGCGTTATCTTTGAAATAGCCTGTAAAAACTTTTTCGGCTGCGCTAGGCAGCTGAAAATGAAGTTTGACTCACAGGAGGAAGATGAGCACAACAGCTTTCTAGCCAAGCATCTGAACGAGTCGCTTCCGCAGCTCAACTCTTTGGTGCGCGCCATTGTCGAGCTGGATGCATCGCCCTCGACGCTTGACTTAATCATTGGCATACTGGAGTGTTGGATGCGTGACAAAAATTCTGAGGTGCGCATTTGCGCGAGCCACGTGCTCAATAACACTCTGGAAGTCTACATTAAGTCCATGAAAATTGGCGGCTGTGAGGCACCCTCAAAGTTCAACCAAACGGGCCAAATGCTGGGCAAGATTGTGCCGCGGTGCATCGACTCGAACGGGACTGTGCGTCAGGTCTCGGTAGACATACTCCAAAAGACGCTAGAAATCGCTTGCATCTACGAGACGCTGACTATTGCCAGCATCGACAGCAACGCCGAGTGGCTGAAGGAGATTGAATCCATCAAGGAGCACATCATCACGGACGAGCCTAAACAAATCTATAATCTAGCTGGCGACATTGCCAAGATTATAGCGCAACGCATTTCCAGCTTTCAGTATTTGCAATTCTGGTCAGTATCTCCAAAAAAGCGCCCACCGCGTCATTTTTGGTCTTGGCTTTCTTCTTCCCCCTATATGTTGGTGTTGCATAAACATTGCAACTCTCTTCGTTATTCATGGACTCTTTATTCATATTGCTGCAATCTGTTGTCTGTATTCATTTCTAGCCTCAGCTTGACTCTGAACTTAAATTTCATTTTAAGTGCAAATGTATGCCTTCTAGGGCTCTTAAATAGAAAGCTACACTATATTTCTTTCACGTATATTTTATAATTATCTCAGTTGAAACATTTAATGTTTGTGTTTTAAGACTCAATTTTTTTATTAGATCTCTTCGAAAACACACGTGCAAGCTTTCAGTCGTTCCACTTTACGAGAAGCTACGCTCATAAGCTTTAGAACGAAATCTTATTTGTTGAATAACTTTTGTTCTAGATGAACTTTCTTAATGATAGGTTAATAGCGGATCAAATGGATGTATCTACTTGTCCATACTTAAAATTTCTATGCGTTTTTGCATTTAATGTGAGAAAGTTTATTAATGAAAATTGAAAACCTCACATCCACCTCTACAGTACATTCAAATACTCTAATAATAAGTAATTGAAATGGGTTACCAATATGAATTATGGACGTTTATTCGCAATGCGTGACGTCGTCCTGACACTTCCTGTTATATACATTTTCACACAAGCATTTCGTCCCGAATTCCCGCCCTCAATGCGTTTAGTGCATTAAAACAAACGAAACATAACCTGCTGCTATCTCTTTCCTACTCATGTAATTCTCAATTTATCCGTCTCACAAAGTATGCTTCTGGCATTGAGGGATGCTAAGATCTCCGCTACGGAATTCTATACATCCAGTTGGGATTTAGTGGCAATTTGGTCATAGATACAGCTTATAGCAATGAATATATCAGATTTATTTTCATTTCCTGCTCTATGACTATTAGAGTATGTAAATTAAAATACTTTCAACTCAAACTATCCAGTTATTGTGGATTTTATCCTTATCGTATGTATTGTTTTCGGTCAGTCTTAACAATTAAGGAATATCTTATCTGGGAAGAGGCATACTCAAGCTAACATAAATAAACCTTTGTTTTGCAGTAAAACTTTGTTGCAGTCGCTGCGCGACCCAGAACAGAGCTCCACAATTGGGGCGAGCGTTGTCTTGAAATTCTTCATACAGCAGAAGGGCTCAGAGCTATTCCATGCGATACCCGATCTGGTAAAGGACAGTCTCTTGGCGCTGCAGCTATGCGATGTGCCTCGCGCCAAGTCGGGGGTGCTGAAAGCTTTGGTGGCCTTAACCAAGCACCATCCGAAGCTTGTGTGCGCAGAGATGCTGCAGCAGCCGCTGCCGTACGACGAGCATCTGGTCGAGTACTGGCATCTGGTGTGCAATGATGCGGAGCTTACTGGGCTGATGCTGGATAACTTTCTGCAGCTGCTAAGCGGTGCCTGTTTGTGCGAGCCGCAGGATGGGAGCAGCATATCAAGCGATCGCCAGAGATTGGCCAGCGCGCAGCCTTTTGCTATATTCTGCGCCATGCACGAGATGATGCCCTGCAAGGACATACACGGAGTAGGTGGACGTAGAATCCCAGAGTTCTTCATTTTCCATTAATATTCGATTTTGATCATGCAGCAACTGGAAGCGCGATTTGCGGATATATTCAGCATGCTGTTGACCTCGTTGTCCAGCTATACAAATCTGGCCCCGCCTATGCCTATGGCACCGCCGGGGAGCCCCAGCCAACCGAACAAGTCGTCTAGCAAGTTTGGCTTTGTACCCAACAAGGAGCTGATCAAACTCAACCCCTGCCAAATAGCGCTCGAAACGTTCCAAGCATTCCTCAACAACCTGGAGATGGAGCAAATTGCCACGGTGCTGACAGTGAACACGCAGCTCGCGGCCAGCACCGACTGGCACAGTTATATTGAGCTGTTGACCCCCATGGCCATTGGCTTAGCCAATCAACTGCAGCTAACCAGCCCAGGAATGCGTCAGCTGGTTAATGCCTTGAGTAAATATGTATCCTCGCCTCATGATGGCCAGCGCGTCGCGGCTGTCGGCCTATTCTCGCGGCTAATGCCGCTCAAACCATGCGGAGAGCTGGTCAGCTGCCTGATGCTGAATCTCGGCGGCGCTCTCAGTGATCCCAATGCTGTGGTGCGCGGACTGAGCCTGCAGGGCATGGGCTATGTGGGTCAGCTGGGTGAGCACGAGGCGCCGCGCTACTCGGAGATTGCGATTCAGGCGTTGCTAAAGGGTGTGGACGACACCGTTGGCGACTGCCTTATCAATATACCGTTAGAGAGCATGCGCGGTCTCTCTCGTATATTGCAGGCTCTGCCCAGTGATCGTGTTGAGCCCTTCCATGTCTCGCTGGCCATACGCATACGGCCCTTCTTTGGCAGCTACTCGATGGAGATGCGCGAGGCGGCAATTATTCTATTCGGGGACTTGTGCGAGTCGAAGCATGACGATGGAAGCAGTTCGCCCACCTCTTCGATGGAGGCCTTGCGCGAGCAGCTTCTTGCCAACCTCTTCCCACTGCTCCTGCATCTTAGCGAGAGTGAGCCGACCATTGTGAGCGCTTGCAAGGGCACCTTGCGCCGCGTCTGTCGCCTGTTGCGCGCGGTGCGCGTCAACGAGATCGCACAGCAGCAGCTGCTCAGTGATGCCGATCAACTCAACTACAACAGCTTTGTTGTCGACTTTGTCAAAGTGATCGTAAGTGCTAGATCATCAGCGTTGATGTTACTAATGATAATGCTAATGCTGCTCTAAACTCCTTGAACAGGCACTGGAACTCACGGACCACATTCAGGACTTTATTGACTCGTGCATGCCCAAGATGCGCAGCCAGTGGCCAGAAGTACGTGGCAGTGCAGCTATTGTCATCGGTGGGTGTCTCTCAGCTGTGACTTGATATTATCCACTATCTATTAACCACATTTGCACACGCAGGCATATTGCACAATTTCCTAAGCGAGCGGAATGCACAGACTGAATCCGTGGCTGGAAAGATTGCTGTACTGCTCAAGGATGAGCAGGTGACGGTGCGCGTACGAGCTGCTCAGGCGCTGGGCTATTTCTTTGGACTTATCTAAAAATAGAAGTACCCTACGGCACACGGGACCAATATAAACCTGATCTTTACTAAGTATAAACAAGAGCTGCACAGCACACCAAACACTACACACACATGCATACATACACACATACCAGTAGTTTTTAGTATTTGTTCGAGATGTGATCCCGCATACGCCTTTTGTATCCTTATTATGTTTGATATCCGTTTAACTTAATTGTTCTGTTGATTGTATATGCTTTTTAAGCATATTTATATGTATATATACTTAAGCGTACATGTATGTGCGCAAGTCGTTAGATACTTGAATATTGAATTATATATATATATGTATTATATATCCCATAATAACCTTAAAACGCGACAAATTTGGTCTTGTGCACGATCAGAGCTGTTACAAGCTGTTACAAGCTGTTACCCGTTTTGCAAGCACCCACTCAATATATTCTTACCACTATTCAATAATTTCAGCTCAGCTTATGATTTGTCAATTACTTGTACTTTCCACTAACGAAGACTATTAGGATCTAAGTCAAACTTTAGCACAAGATCAAATGTTACTTTGTCGGCGGACTGTTATTTTAATTCCAACAATGTTATTTTGTGTACCTTTATTAACGCTTATTAAACCAA